CTGTTATTTCCTAAAACCTTTGGGCTTCAGTTTAAGGTTTATGTTCTGGCCAGCCTTTTGAACCCGTTTGTTCTTTTTTTACTGGATTGACCTCCTTGCTTGACGTATGGGACTGTGATATCAACCATCATTTACAGTGGTGTGTTTTTCCATCACAGACAGCCCTAAGTACAGTCAAAGGGTTACACAGCTGCCAGGCACCCTGCGTGTCTAACGCTGAGACAGAACAACAGCCAGCAGTGACTCCAACAGCATCTTCTCTCCAAGTGCATGAGTTCCTCCATGATATACCAAGCTGGCATGTTGATCCACCCCCAGACATTGTCTCTACTCCTTTGGCATTACCCAGAGGGGCCATTCCCCAGCCAGTTGTGCAGGGTTTAGGAACTCACACCATCTCTGTTTCTTCAGTTAGGCCCAATGCAGTGTCGGGAAAGGGTCATGTGAGCACCCAGTCCGCTTGGTTGGCGTTATTTCTAGGCCTCATCGGGATGTATGTTCCTGGGTCCAGTGATCTTCTACCAGGAAACATGTCTGTGATTGCCTCCAAGAGAGTGATTGGCTGTCGCCCTTTCAGCCAGCCCACCAATATGAAGCTAGCCCACTGCTTGAAGTATATGGGAGCAGTCCCTCCTCAAAGGACTCTGTCTTTCTTCCAGGACACCTTCTCAATGCTGACAACCATACATGGTCCTAAGCTCAATTCAACACACCTAATTCCTTCCGGGAGCTCTTAGGACTAATATCTTGCCTAGGCATACTGTTGAGGTCCTCTCTGAAACATCCCTACATTAACTAGTAAACATTCTTGACAGTTTTTCAACTCCGCAGCCTTGTTTTCTGCAACCTACTCGGTTGCTTTGGCAAAAGTTCGACTGTCAATAAGGGCCACATCTGAAAAACTGACCAAAAATTACTTAACTCTGGCAGGAGAAATCATTTTCTTTTTCAGGCAGTCCACTTGTCCGTGTTAGCTGGAAAAGGAGCCAGCAGGGCCAAACAGACAGGCCAGCTGTTTTTTTAAGAGAACAGTCTTCCGCAGGTCTTCAGTTCACATCAGCAGTTACATTGTACTACTGATGAGGCAATCAAAAGCTGCTGCTTCGCTTCCATTCCACAGAATTTTTGGAGAGATCTCCATTCTGTCCTACCAGAAGGACAGCCTGCTTCTGGACATTGCTTCAGGGAAGCAACTGAGCCTTGATACCACAGCTCAAATCTATGATGATGGTAGCCATCCTGAAAAGATGCTCCGACTCCTGGTGTCTCTTCTCAAAGAAGTGCGGTCTTGGGTCTTGGCATTTTACTTTGAGGAAAACGTGGAGATCTCCATGCCGTAATTTCTCACAAGCCCATAGACCAGTAAGCAGCCAGTCAGCTGATACAGGTGTCTGCACTTCACTCTCTTGGGTGGAGAGGGGATAAATCTGTAGTGTCCCTTCTTGGCTGGGCTGGGCATCGAGAGGGGCATTTGTTCCGACATCTCTGATTGTGGAGGACTGCAGGCCACGTTCTGGTGACCTGGACCTTAGAGCTGCGGGGAATCGCAGACAGCAGCATTAGCATCATACACCGTCAACCAGCATGGTGAAACCTGATCCGACTTTTTTCCCTAAATTACATTACTTCTGAGGAACCCTCTCATACGTATTAGCCATTGGACACACTGAGCTTTATTATTTTGTTAGATTAAGACCTTTTGAAATGCAGTCAGTTTCCCAAAGCAGGACTCATGTCCAGTAAGGGCTCATCTAACTAGAGCTCAGACAACAAAGATGCCCCAAGAGCTGACACCAGCAGGGCAGCCTTGTGGAGCTCTGCTGATGCTTTCACTGAGTACTGTCCGCTTACTGAGGAACCGTCACTTCTGAGAGGTTTTTGACAAGACGCTACTGGTCGTGCACATCCAGCCTGTGAATGGACCCACCAACAGCTGCGTCTTTTTTACTTGGATACCCGTTGGCTTGTATGTGTATTCTCGATCCTCCTGCTCCCAGAGAGGAAGCTCCCATGTGAATTTCCTGTTTGAGAGATGCACTCCGGCCCTGTGTCACTGCACGTGAGAGTGGCGGAAAGCAAGCTTGGAGCATCGTCCTAAGCTCCAGCTGAGGTGAAGGTTCTCCAATTTGACAGTGCCACCACCAGCAAAGTAAACAGAAACAGACAACTCAAAGAAAATGAATGACAGTATTCAGTGCCAAGTGAAGCATCTCATCACTCTGTAGTACTCCATTACGCTTTCATATGCTTTTTCAAACTGAGTTGAGTTTTTAAGGATCTTAATTTTCACCAAGCTGTTTTAAGGAGCAGACAAATGCTGATGCAGCTGGGTAGCAAATTCAATTTAGAGCTGAATTCTGACTTTTGTTTGATAAAAGAGCCTTCTCCCAAGGCTTATAGTAGCATCCAGCATCAAATACGTCTCCTGAACTGGGGACTTGTTTGAAACTTTTGGGAGAACAAACTGGACTCTGGCAGTAAGTTCAACATCTGCACAAGGGATGTGGAACTATTACAACGTGTGCTGAGTGTTTCCTTGAAGAGCATTCCTGTGGGAAGTGCGGTCCTCTCTAAATCTGCACTGGTGACCTTGAGGTACTGCTTAAGGAGCTGACTTTGGTCTAGTAAGACACAGATTATTTTTGCCTGGAGGGGATGCTGACCTATTTTTGTATTGCTTCAGTTTTTAAAATTACATTGACTCTTATCAGGATTCCAGCTTAAGAAGGTTGTAATTATTATCAGAAAGCAGAAAAGTTAAATCGGCTAATTATGGTAGGCTGTAAATTACACTATTTTCAAAAAAAAAAAAAAAAGATACTTAGCCTTCATAATGTGTTAGATGGTTGAAACTCAGACTTTCTGCTTCAGTGGAAGCATTCGTATTTGGTTCTGTTATAGTTCAGGGCAAACTCATTTGTGTCAAAATTCATAATTGGAAATTCAGAAGCATTGGAAATTCACAGCCTCAAACTCAGGATGCTGGAGCCACAACTTGAAATCCTGAGTTTTAGGGAAGAGAGAGCGTCCTGGAAGGCAGGGGCTTTTCGCAGTCTTTTCTGCCAAACTTATACCATTGGGTAGGAAAGTTGTTCTTGAGGCAGAGCTCCTAGAGGGCCTGGATCCTCAGTGGTGGTACTAGGGAACCAGCTAGGATTTTGTGGCAAGTCTTCCTGGGAATGAGCAAAAAACTGTTGAACGCAAGCTTTCAGTGTTCTGTAGAGGACCAAAATCAAGCTTGCACAACGATACGAGTCAGCCGCCTAATCTTGTACCTCTGTTCTTTGGACAGGTTGCATCTCCGACAGACACAAGCAATTTCGACAGCTTCCCTGAGGACAATGAGGAACCGCCCCCTGATGACAACTCAGGATGGGACATAGATTTTTAATGTATCTCTCTTACCTGCTTCTGCCTTGCTGAAGACAGCTTCCTGGGACATGGCTGCCAGCAAAACTGAAAGAATTGGGGAGGATTAGTGCTCGGGGTCACCATGATGCCTTGATTGATGCTGCTACAGTAACTACAGTGGCATTAGGACTTCTTGCTTAGATGACAATAGTGCTCTTCATGTTTTATGTTCAAACTTAAAATAGCAGTTGACATGGTGGTCCTGATGCAAAGCCTTTCACCAGTAAAGAAATACATTTTCTATCACTGCAACAATCTTGCTATGCTCTAATTATAAAAGTGGAAAGATACATAGTGTAAGATACACTTAATTCTAGCTGCAAGGTACTGGCTTTATCAGTAGGATCAATAGTAAATTATTAAGTACTGTAGCTAAGCACAGTACAGGATTTGGGCTACTCCCACCCGTCAAACTCTGTAGGTCTTCTACCGTAGGCCAGTGTAGAAACAAAGGAGGACCACAAAAATACTGGTCAGAGGGTTCATGTCAAAGCAGTGGTAAAACTTGTCCTTTTTCTTTCCAAGCAGTTTTCATGACGAGACTGAATGTTACCGTTCCTCTTTCTTTTTGATAATCTTTTTTGAACCTGATGTAACAAAAGCACAACTGCTATAGATTCTGTTAAGAACTGTTAAGGCAGAAATGGGTCGCTTCTCGCATACGGCTGAGAACATAGTGTAACACAAGGGGTATTTTTTTTTCCTTCCTTTTTGGTACAAATACATAATTGCATGGAAAAAAATCATAAAATTATCCATTTCACATATAAAATAGTGTTTAAATAATGGTCCTATAATAAAGTGTCAACAGCCAACCGGTCTGATTGATTAGCTATTAGACATGAAACTAAGCTTAACTTTTACCTTTTTAGAACCCAAAGGAAAATATAAGACCCATAATGTACTTTATAGGTGCTATGTACATCCTTCATCTGTGAATATGCCTATTCAGTCAATGACCATTTCAGAAATATGTAGCAACAGGCATTGTTTTCCATCATGCTCTAAGAACAGAAAACTTTTAAGTCTCCGTTCCTGCATCTCTTCCATGTTTATTTCAAAGCCAATTTTTAAAAAAATGAAACATACGGTAGGGGGGCCAGTGTGCTGGCTCTCTTTGGAAAACTGCACATCGAAACGCAATTCTAGTGCCGCACCAGAGTAAGTCAGAAGATACTCACAGAAAAGTCAGTGGAATTAAAGAGAAAATTGTTCTTAGCTTAACATAGACATGTTGTGTTTTGCATGAGATTTACTGGTCTGCATATCCCCAAAGTACCAAGTCCCCAGTGACCATGTTGTGGCACGGTCATGGCTAGAGCTGAGCCACCTCATATAAATAGGGAAAAGAGTACTACTACGCCTGCGCTTTTCCCTCGCTTCCACAGCTTTTCTGCCAGAACGACTCCTTTGCTTTAGAGAAGTCCCTTCTGATTTATCCTGAAGTGTAACGAAAAAGATCCAGTCCGGTATGCCTACGTGCCAGGGGCTCCTGAGGCTAAAGGTTTATCCTGTCATTCCTGCGTGAAGCAGGAGCTCTCAGATTCTGTGACTGACGCCGCCGAAACCTCGTGATATCCATGCCTGCCCCAAGGTTAGCAGATGCTGTCCCGTTTGATTGCAGAGTTATCAAGAGCTATTATAGACAGCGGAAGTCAAAAGACCAACTTTTGCTAGCCCATGCTACATAGTTGCAATGGGTTATCTGCTCTAATTATGGGTGAAGACACTTAGGAATTACCTCTTACGTTTCAGTAACTCCTGGGAATTGCTGACTTCTATGGTGTTTGTGTCAACATACACAAGTAATTTCATTGCAGGGGTATTTTTGCAAAGGATAAGACTCCAGGCTTTGACCTTGTTCCCCTGAGTAGGAGTTTTACCTCAAAAAGGGGTGTGCTAAGAAAACACGCGCATCAACCGTAAAAAAAAAAAAAAAATTCTCTGGCGGTATGTCCCAACACTTTTCCATTTTCACAGGGACTTGTGTAGTCTTTATAGAGCATATTAAAAAGATATTTTCTCCGCTTCTTTGACCGTGTCAGCAGTATCTAAAGTTTGCCGAAGAGCTCAGTTATTGCAGACCCCCCTTTAAAACCAGTCTTTCACTGAATTTTCTTCATGCTTTAATAGACGAGTGAGGGAACATCTTCAGCACGATAACTTCGAGTGATTTCTGCTATTCATTAATCATGCGTGGCAGTGTATTAACATTTGTTTACCTTGAAAACCGTAGGGAAAAAAGTAACTGTCTACTGGGAATCACTTGTACACGACAAATACACACTCAGTTTGAAACATTCATCTTAAGGATAAAACCGCTGTCTGAAAGCAAATACTAAATACTAGGGCTGAAATAATCACTCGGCATCTTTCCAAATGAAGAGTCACTTGGCTGCACTAAAGCAGTAAAGCTGAATGCTGAATTCATGTCCCCCTATTTCTTCACTCAGTGACGTGGCTACATTGGATGAGAAAGCTAGTTTCGTTTGTTGACTTTGTACAGAAGAATTATAAAGAGGAGTTTGGCTCAGTTCTAGATATTATAATTTAGTACTTGAGATTCAGTTGTCCATCAAGCAAGGACTTGGCAAGGTTTCTGGGGAGAACTGAAAACAGTACAGGAAGAGTGTTTTAAAATGGATTATTTTTGTTCTTCCGGTCAGTTTTTCCTTATGCCACATACAATAACAGCCGAATCATGTGGCATGCACTGTATTGAATATAAATTTATTTTGATATCAAACACCTCACTCAACTTACATCACCTTTACTAAGCATACTTTAAACATAATTAGCATATGTATATTAATATATTCCTTCATTTATGAGTAATATATTTGAGTTGCATTATATATATATATATATATATGGGACGACAGTGTATTTACGTAAGGGGAAATCAGCTACCATATTTAAAAGAAATGTGTTCAGATTGGTGTCACAAGATACAGATGATCTGTAGCTTCTTACAGTGCCGCATTATCCATAGTAAACTCTTATTTAACAGCAGGACCACAAGCAAATATTTATGTAAATAGATATTTTCGTGTTGATATTTTGTGGTACACATATAACTTTTTATTTAGAGTTCCATGGCATTATTACTTCATTTCCTTATTTGTAATGTAATGTTTTTAGATCCAAGTAGACTTGAATTAATGTCATAATTGTCAGTATTATTAAACTTTATGTCAACTGTACTGTTACTCATCTGTCCCATAGTTTTAGAACATGACTAGCTATCTGGCATTGTTGCAAGTGCCTTAAATTCATGGCATCCTATAAAAATACAAATTTGGTGTTATGCTGCATGACAAAGACAAACACACCTCAAAATGTTGTCCTTTCTTAGCTTGCTGCGTTTTACAGTTCTTTCTGCTAACAATTTCTAAGCCTTTATTATATAATATTGATGAATTACAGAAATGATGAAGTTGTTCTCTTATTTCTGTTAAATGTACCAGAGCTGTGTATCTGTTAATGAGATACAGAGTCATTTCTGTGAAATGTATAAATGTATGTGCGGGTCAAATTAATATATGACATACTATCAGTCTGTATACAGGTATTCCTGTTTTGCTAAGCTGTGCAGATTTGAAACTGTAGTGCAGTAACGTCCCAACGTATCATGTTTTCTAAACTTCATTGCAAACGGTCCACCCAGAGAAAGAATTGAGCAATTCGGTGTAATCACAGCCAAGCAGAAAAATGCGTTTTGACGTGAAACCATTGACTAGCCAGAAAAAAAAAAAAAAAAAGTCGCATCATGTTGGCACCACTCAACAAAACAGGATCAGTGCTCTCTATGAGTTCTTCTATATGCAAGTGATCACGGAGGCAAGCTCTCAAGCCACCTGAAAGCTAACCGTTAAAAATGTTACTGCTTTTCTTCCTCCGCAGCTGCCCACCGCGAAAAATGGAGTGCCGAGACTTTTAGCGGTTTCGGGCTTTACTGGCAAAGGGAAATGTTATTTGGAGTTGCCTGTCATACTGATACCAACCGATACTGGTTTAACACTGGTCGTTTCTTTTGTATCCTTATGCCTGTATTTCCCGTTCTCTTCTTAACCGCGGATTCTACACAAAAGGGTTTTTGTTTGTCGGAAGACGTCCGTCATCAAATGGTCATCGACCAGTTGCACTCTTTCGATGTAGATTTAAGAACCTTTTTTTTTTTTCCTCCCAGAAATTTAACTGCTTTTGTTTTGCTCTGTATTTTCCCCGCATCTGTAATTGCTGAGTGCCTGTTGTATACTTTATAGAGTTGAAATAAAAATAATTACTTTTGAAGACTGTTTTGAGGCGTTTCTTCAACGTTGGGATTCAAGCTCAGGAGCATCCCGTTTCCTTGTGAAATGTTAGTCCTTGTCTGTATCCCGTTTCGTGACGATACGCAGTAATAGATAACGAGACGGTGTACCATACTCGTAGGCCGAGTACGACCCACGCGCTGGCGCACAGCCGCATCCGAAGTCTCTGCGGAGCGGCCGATAGGAAAAGGCAAGCGCCCGCCATCGCGCGGCCGGTGTCTCTTGGACCAAGAGCACGACCCCGGGCAACCTGATCTGACGTTGAGGTTGGAGCCAACTCGGAAGGCGGCTCTGCCGCGAGCAGAGGTCGGGGCAGCTCACCTCCGGGGATCCTTTCCAGCCTAAATGATGCGATGAACGTGCCAAATAGCGGGCAGCCCTCGTGCGTAAATCACCCTGCGGTCGAGGCTAAGGGTTCGCCTCAGTGCTGTGCGGAGGATGCCCAGGAGAGGTGACGCTGCAGAAGGTGATGAAGAAGGCAACGAGAACTCCCAGCTTTTTCATGAGACTTGACGACAGCCGCGAAGGAGGCATGGAGCACCCCGCTGCCCCTCGGCGTGCAGCGACGGCCCCGGCAGAAGGGCCGACGCGGCACCCACCTCAAACCGCCCGGGCGACGCCGGGATCTTGACGCTGGCTGGGGGCGAGGTGCGCCGCTCCTCCTTCTAGGCTGAAAAATAACAAGTAGCTGGGGTACGTGACTGACTCGCCAGCACCCGCGTTCGGTGCGCGCCAAAACTTCCCCAAGCCTGCCTTGAGCCTCCTTCGCCTGAAACACCTGACGCTCTCTTGCCGCAAGGTAACACCGACACCGGGAGCGCTGGATGCGGCTGACGGGCACTGCGGTTTTAAGTAAAAGGCTGCAACTTTTGAAACGCACACCCAAGCCTTAAGTCTACGATTATGCAACTGATTTGTTTCCGCTGCTAAACTCGCCCTGCTCTTTAGGGAGCAAGCGAGATGGGGCGGGAAAGGGAGCATGCGCAAATGAATCGGAGTACATTAAGCAACTGGGCGGGTGGCAAGACCTGCAACAAGACCCCCCCCCCTCCCACCGCCCTTGCACCCAACCAGGCCATGCCTCCTGCATAGCGCATGACGCTGCAGCACCCCAGCTGTTCACCCGCACTGCGTTAAAGACATCGGTGCCCTGGATACGGCCTGGCACGCCCGAGGTCTGATCGCCTCCCAGCTGAAGTCAACAGCAGCAGTGTTTTAGGCTTTAAGAGAGAAAAAAATAAATAAGTAAAGCCCACGTTCCAGCAGAAGATGCCAGGCTTCAGCATCGCCGCCTGGCTTCTCGCCCTCCGCTCCCCCGGAGCTCAAGTTTCAAATGCAAATTACCTGCTTGCTCCCCGTTACACACAGCCAATATCAGCAATGCCTCGGTTTGTTTTGTTTTTTTTTTTCTTTAACGAAACATGCTCAACGAAAAGAAAAAGGTCAGCAGAAAAACTTTCTCCAAGTGACGGCTGCAAGCTCTGAAGGCTACTTCTTCAGCCATCCTCCACCACTCTTCTCCCTCTTGCCGCACCGAATCGCGCCTGGGCACGGCTCCTGCCTGGGGACACCCATGAGCCCTCGAATGGCCTCACTCACCGCCGGGCACGTTTTGCCGCACTTTATGCCAGTCCCCTT